CCCCCCGTTTCACCCCCCCGGCTGGGTGGCACATATGTGGCCTGCATACGGTGGTTGCCACCGCACTGCTGCTGCTGCGCCCTGCACCACTTGCCATTCAGGTGGCTGTGGGATGGGAGCGCAGGGCACAGTGATAGAGTTGCAGTGGTGGCCTCCATGTGCGAACCTCCTGTCAGGCCAGCCGGTGCGTGTGTAGCCCACTGAGTGGCACCCCTGCCCCCAGGCCCTGCTCCTGGGAGTGGGCATAGGGGTACACTCCCCCCTTGATCTACACCCCCAGCACCTTCCCTGTCCCCCACCCTGCCCCACCCCTTCTCCCCACACACACTTACCTGCTGGGGTGGGTGTCAGTGTCTGTGTCTGCATGTCTGTGGGTCTGGGGGCCTGCTGCGAGGGGCTCCAGGAGGGCTGTTGAGACTGTGGCGGGGAGTGCAGAGCACCAGCAACACTGGGAGGGGTTGTGGGGGGCCTTTAAGTTTTATCACAGATTTTGGGTTTTTAACCAGAGAATTTGCAATTTTTAATCAGGGAAAACCAGGATCCCTGGTGATGAGGTCCCATCCCCGTCCCCCCCGCCCCCCGAAAATTGCCCTGCTACTACAGGATGCTGTTGGATACCTAGCAACTTCATTCACAGCAGTTAAACCCCATTCATATGAAAGATAAAGTAAACAATGCAACCACCCTCCCACAGGGCACAGCCAAGTGTTTGTTCTCACTTACCAATGCGTAAACATCCCATTTGGTTGTGAAATAGGTTGGGTTGTTGTCTTTCAAGTGTTACAAAAAGCTGCCTCATCCTGCACTGAAAAGCAATACTGCACCCCACATAAGCAGCAAACAGCAGGCTGCATTCTTATGGAAAAGGTGCTGTGCTACCCAGGGCAAGTGTCCTGCAGGGCTGAGTCCTTGTGCCTCTGGTGTGTTGCCATCTCTCATCCACCTCAAAAGTCTACAGTGTACAAACCCCAGTCAGTCACTGCTCCACAAATGTATAGGCACTCAAGGGGCCAGACCTGCACCTCTCCACCTGCCTTGTTCTGATATAAAAAAAACCCAGACAGACTGGCGCCAGCCTGGTAAGCACGCAAAAATTTTGCACCAAAGCGTGAGAGGCTTTGCATGGAAAGGTTTGAGGCCAAAAAAAAGTGCCCAAGTGCCCCATGCAACTAGCATTCAGGGAAAGTGAAGGGCATCAGGCTAGGGCAGGGGGTGATGCCCTTTGGGACCCCGAAGGCAATGCTTTGAGCACACTTGGGGGTAGCCTGAAGGGTGCCCCCCTCCCCTTTCACCTAGCCTTGGGAGATGCTTGTGTACACTTGGGGAGCCCTGCAGAGCTTTGTACAGAAAGGCTTGACACCGAAAAAAAAGTGCTTGAGCGCCCCATGCTTGGGGGTTAGCTTTGCATGGAAAGATTTCATGCCTCAGCCCCCTGAGTGTCCCATGCAACTTGTACCCAGGAAAAGAGTGGCAGAAGTGCTGTGGCTAGGTGTTTCTTGTCCTAAACCACCGCCTGGCAGTAAGGTAGGACTGAAAGGGCATGAGGGTAAAATTGTTCTGACATGCCCTCTAGTAATTTTTACTAGTCATAGCTTAATAAGTCCTTACATGGTAAATCACGTCCATGTTACTTATTTAGCCATCTTAAAGTAAGAAATAAAAATTAAACCAGGAACATTTTTAGCAACTAAATGTCAAGTACTTGTACAAGGGCCCTGGGATTTGCAGTCCAGAATTACAACAGCAGGACTCTACAAGGTTGCTCATCACCTCCTCTTCCTGCTTCCAGGTGCCTCTGGGATTTGTAGTCCACAGTTGCAGCCAGCAGTGAGTTTGAGCTGGGGAAAGAGATGTTTAATTAGCCGGGGTTTGCCTGGCAGGGGGGCAGTCCCCCCCCCCCTCCCCCATAGAGTGGGCTGTGTTCCCATCCCCTTGTCAGCCAGCCCTCACTGCTCTAGCTCTAGCAGAGGGTTGAGGCTAGCCCTGCTTCTGGAGCAGACAGCCCAGCCCAGGGCTATGAAGCATGCTGGGATGCTGACTTTGATTTAACTTGAACCAGGAAGGACAGAAGTTTCATAAACCAGTTTGACCCCGATCAGTTAAGTCTGATACTACATTCAACCAGGTTTACCTTAAACCAGTTTCAGCCATTTTGAAACTGGTTTATGTGCACTGAGCTTCTGTTTTGTTACAGTTTTAAACCAGTTTCTGATCACTTAAGCCAGTTTCTGTGCAACTTCTGTCCCTAGCCTCAGAGACTGATGTGGTATGAAACAGATATGGAGACTGATGCGTAGCACATCTTCAACTGCATACTGAAAAGTTACTGCTTTACTTGACAAAACAACCTTAAATCAAAATTATTTGTCCAGTTGGCTTTCCGGTGTCTTGTTTAGCAAATCTGAATTCTTTATGGCTCTTTTCATCATGAACTACGGGGAAAAAAATGCTTGTGAGGTTTAGTGTTGGTAATCACCTTTAACCATGAAGGGTAATAGTTGTTCTTTTTACTTGCTAAAGTAAACCTCTGTCAACTTCGAGTCAGCAAATGCAAATGATAATTTTTGCTGCAAATTCAAATGTAAAAGATTTTTTGGAATAAGCTGAGCAAAAAATTGGTCCATCCAAATGGTCAAATGTGCATGACCATGACTGTCAGCAAATTCAGATGTAGGTGTTAATGAGGTGCATATGTGTGCTGTGCTTTGCCACTTCCAAGTACATGTATACATTTGATGTCAGTACAAAATTGCATAGAAAAATGTGTTGCATGGGCTGCCTGCTAGATTGCAAAGATTCATATAATGTCCTTCCTGTAACTTAGAGAGGAAAGTGACATGCTTCTTGGAAATTATTTATATAGAGGATGTTATTTGGCTTCACATACAGCCTGCAAATGAGGTTTGGGTTCTACCGGAGCAGGGGCCAGTGTCAAGAAGAAAAACCTGTTTAAATGAAATGAGTGCTGTCAGTTCTTTTATCCTCTCCTCAGTACTTAATCAGTATATTGTAGTTTCAAATGCTAGGTCATACCTGCAAAAACGTGTGCTGTGTAAATTAACCTGTTGGTGTAAATTGTGTAAATAATAGATGCATTTTATAAATTAGTGCCTATTCATGTACTTAAGTACTTCTTTAAACATGCAAACATGTCTACAATTGGTTGCATGTTTTCTCAGTAAATGTTCTAAATATTTGCCACCCCACTCTGTATTTTTCAAATGTAAAAGAATGACTCTGTATATATGCACATTAATTACACTTGGGTTCAAAGTGGCATTAATCTCTAATGTGCATGCCTCTCTGAATGGTGATTTTGGGATAATACTTCCCATTTCAGTTGTTCAAACACCATTTACATTTTTGAAAATTCATCCAAAAATAGAAATATGGGCTATAGAATATACTTCTAAGCAGTTTAAAGTCGCACTACTTCTGTTCGACTGCATTATTTAATCTGTGTTAGCAGATGATAATGAAACTTCTGTAATATTTCTCAAAACTGGATGTGCTAAGCTAAACAAAGTAATATTATGTAGGTTTGTTTTTCATAGTTTGTAGATGGAAAGCACAGTTGAGATCACACTCTCAAAATACCAGTCGATTGCTATTTGGTACCTGTTTGTTTGTTCCCTGATTGGTTAGAACTGTTGCTGGGCTGCTACCATTTTAACCAAAATTAGAAAGTCCATATAAATGAGTCAAACTAGACTGCCTGCTTTTTTCAGTTCTCTCTTCTGATTCATCAGTTGTTTGTTGCAGACTCTCACTGCCTTTGTGAATTGGGGATTGTGGCTGCTTAGGTGAAAACTATTGGTGATTACTTACACAGGGAAAATATTCATAAAGGTCTTGCATTGATGACATTCAGATGTTATCAAAATTATCACTCTTAGAAAAAGTTGAAGGAGAGACACTGTAGTTAACCCAAATAGGTGAGGGGAGAGACTATTTCTATTCTGTGAATGTCTCTTGGTCAGCTATAGGATATATACCTTTCAGGATTATAGTAACTAGATATCACTACTGCATTTCAGGAAAAAACATAGACTGTTTACCAAAACCATGGGTTAGTGCAATAATTTAAGAGTTAGAGGTGAAATGTTTATGCTGCATTCAAAGGAATATCACTTCTTTCTCTGTTGAAATTAAACCTATACTCAGACTTTTCCTTTTGAAAACTAGCTAGGTTTTGATGGCAAAAGGAATATTTTTTTTCCAGAAATTTTACATTTGGACAGCTTTGAGCTTTTATTATTCTTTATTTTTCCCTCCCATACTGGTGAATTAAAATCAGGATGGTGGTAGAAGGTAGTTTTGGGATTTCTGTTGAGTCAAAGTTTGCTGCACAACAAAGGTTCTGCTGTGGCCGAAATGAAGATAACAAGAGAGATGTAATCATGTGGGGAATTCCCCAACATGGCAGACTTTTCAATTGCATTCCCACCTCCCCCTCCATTTGTTGAGAAGAGTAATGTAAAGAGGAAGTATACCTTTAATGACAACATCTAAACAGACTCCTTGTTTGTGATTCACAGTGCAAATTTGGTGAGACTACTACTCTAAACTCTTTGACCCTTGAGGGTACAAGCAATGTGTAAGGTTACAACTAAGCCTTATTGGCCCTCACAGATTATATTTGCTTATTTAGAAGACCAATAAACTCCAGTTTATATGGCTAGAATATCCCTCTAAATTGCTGTCCCATGAGCCTTTATAAAAATAATTTTCCTCAACTTGGTATATCCCAAGATTAATGGCCTCTGTGATACAACAATTCTGTGCCTTAGTCAGATGTTTTTAATTTCCTCTCTGAACTGGTTTATGAAATATAGCAACATAGAAGATAATTTCCTATTTGCTGTATTTAATGCTTCTTCATTTACACTGTAACTGCTTATAATTACATTGTAGAAAATTTAAGTATTGTTATCTTTCAAAATGCTAGTGGTTTCAACTTTTTTTCTCCTTTTTAACATGGGTTATTCATTTTATTGCAGGATTTGGTTGTTCGTATTGTCTTCATTCTTGGTAATTTAACAGCAAAGAATAACCAGGCCCGTGAGCAATTTTTTAAAGAGAAAGGGAGTGTTAGCATCCTGACATCATTATTCCAAATCTACAGTGAATTTGATTTGAATGAAAAAAAAAGGAAGCATGAAGCAGGAGAAGAAAAGAAAACCCAAAAGCATCCTTTGGAAGCAGAAGATGTCCTTATAAAACTGATAAGAGTGCTTGCTAATCTCTCCGTTCATCCCAGTATAGGAGCAGCTCTGGCAGCTAATCACTACATTGTGTCACTACTCATTATGGTATTAGGTAAAGTCTGCATTTCCTTTTCTTGTATTTTGTTTGTCCAATCTGAAAGGCAGAAATACTACTTGACCTTCACATAAGGCAGAACCTTAATGAAATCTGCTATGTTGGTGATATGGTTAGGTCAATTAGCTAATGTTAATAATTGCAGTATATGAAATATCTTATTTTAAACAGCAGTAGCATTATCACATTCATATTGAATTTCAGTGCCTAAGAGGAAGTAGCCTATAAAGGTGCTCCATGAATCATATCATAAACCATAAAGCAAACTGCTCAAGTAAAATGGATGAATCGGGAGGTCTCATGTTATATTTGTGTCTCACTATGAAAGGTCACATAATTAAGACTTCCTTATTGCCACATACTCTATATACTGCTTATTGTTGTTGAGACAAAAAAAGTTTGTAGTTAAGTTTGTCACAGATTTACCATGAATTATTTAATCATTTCAGAATTTGGAAACTTTTAGTCCTTTGGGGATATTCCATGTTCACATAAGGATAGCCTTTGAAGTGTCCAGATTTCCAAAGTATGTCACAGACTTGTTTCTGTGTGACTTCTGCCTTCATAAAGCATATGGGATGTGCAAAATTAACATTATAAATCAGTAGATTCTACACATTGTTACCCAACTCAAGAGGAAATTATGTGCACGAAGAGTTGGAAGAATGGGACTCATATTGG